GATGGAACATGCAACGGACCAGGTATAGGAGAGAATGCAGCAGAGTAGAGTTCTGTTGGCCTTTGTATTTATTTTCTTTTTATTTCAATGTCACTTCATGTACTTCGAGAACTATTTTGTGATGAATGAAATGACAATTCTGTTTTGCAAAGCTTCCATACTTCAACCTGTACTTGAATGAATACTTTAACCTGTATTTGAATGAGTTGATAGTTTAATTTTTCTATTAGTGTTTGGCGTTCGGCTCATAGTGCCATTTGCCACTTACTTAGCTAAGTGCTTAACGCTCGACTAGAATGCCACTTGCCACTTTATCTTTTTATTTTTGCGCAAGTGTCTGGCGTTCGGCTTGTAATGTCATTTGCCACTTACTTGGCTAAGTGTTTGACGCTCGGCTAGAATGCCACTTGCTACTTGGCTTTTATTTTACGCAAAGTGTTTGGCGTTCGGCTCTTAGTGTCATTTGCCACTTACTTGGCTAAGTGTTTGGCGCTCGGCTAGAATGCCACTTGCCACTTTATTTTTATATTTTTGCGCAAGTGTCTGGCGTTCGGCTTGTAGTGTCATTTGCCACTTACTTGGCTAAATACTTGGCGCTCGGTTAGAATGCCACTTGCCGCTTGGCTTTTATTTTGCACAAAGTGTTTAACGTTCGGTTCTTAGTGCCATTTGCCACTTACTTGGCTAAGTGTTTGGCGCTCGGCTAGAATGCCACTTACCACTTTACTTTTTTATTTTTGTGCAAGTGTCTAGCGTTTGGCTTGTAATGCCATTTGCCGCTTACTTGACTAAGTATTTGGCGCTCAGCTAGAATGCCACTTGTCGCTTAGTTTTTATTTTGCGCAAAGTGTTTGGCGTTCAGCTCTTAGTGCCATTTGCCACTTACTTGGCTAAGTGCCTAGCGCTCGGCTAGCATGCCACTTGCCACTTGGCTTTTATTTTGTGCAAGTATTTGGCATTCGGCTCTTAGTGCCATTTGCCACTTACTTGGCTAAGTGTCTGGCGCTCGGTTAGAATGCCATTAGCCATTTGGCTTTTAATTTGCGCAAGTGTTTGGTGTTTGGCTCTTAGTGCCATTTGCCACTTACTTGGCTAAGTGCCTAGCACTCGGCTAAAATGCCACTTGATTTTTATTTTGCGCAAGTGTTTGACGTTCGGCTCTTAGTACCATTTGCCACTTACTTGGCTAAGTGCGTGGCGCTCAGCTAGAATGTCACTTGCCACTTAGCTAAGTGTCTAGCACTCAGCTAGAATGCCACTTGCCACTTGGCTTTTCTTTTTCTTTTTCTTTTTTTTTTTGTGCAAGTGTCTGGTGTTCGGCTTGTAGTGCCATTTGCCAAATTTTTCAACCCATTTTCCCTCTATTTTCAGTCTATTTATAAACTATTACAAATCTTTTAGAAGCTTCCTAACTAACTCCTTGCGTTGGGCTGACCTTCTGGGCTTTTCTTGATTATGGGCCCAATTCCTTTTATCTGAAATCGGGCTTCTTACATGATTTTTCGGTCCTGGGCTTGACAAGTGAAGACTTGGTTTAGAGCGGTTGCTCTTACCCGACCTGGTCTTAGCAATCTGGATCGCGCTCGGCCCAGTCCATTTTTGGTGTCTTCATAAACATATATGGTTTGAAGTTAAGCCAAAATGATGCTATTATAATCTTATCTATCACTTCTCAATGTCAATATTTTTATTTTTAATCAGAGATTGATAAAATTTAATATTTAATAATTCTATCAATTAATAAATTTTGCATCTAACCAATGCAATTGTTTATTCATGTTTGCAGAGTTAACTTATTCATTTTGCCAACATGGTGTTTTTTGTTGACAAACTATATTTTGTAACTAATTTAATGCAGAGTAAATTGTGGAATGTATCTTATTCATAAGCTTTTTATTGGACAAAATTAAAATGTTTTGAGAAAGTTAAAATGATAAATTCATAATTCAAATAAGTGGATGGACAATAAGACACTTTTACCTAGAGGGTGTGAGTGCAATGTACCCTATATTTAAAATGGTAAGGAGCCTTGTTTGGGAAGTGAGAAAATGAGACACACATTCTGCTAGAAACTTCTCCGAATTTTTCCACTGGTAAAAGGTCCTAGTCTTGATTAAGAATTTATTGACTTTGACCAACCAACCTTCATCTACTTTCAACTTTTAAATGCCCTTAATGATTGGAATTTTTGAAAACTTTGATGACTTCCAACTAAAAATTTAGTTTATGAAAAAAAAAAAAAATTGATTGTATGATTTTTCAGTCTGTTTCTTTTAAGAACACGTCAGTTAGAATGTTCTAGTGAATGATATAAGCTTCTTCCATCTGGGTTTTTTCAAGTAGCTGAGAAGAAAAATAAAATGAACTACCTTTTTTTGTTTTTTTTTTTGGTTGGGGGGGGGGGGGGGGGGGGGGGGGTGCTAATCTGATAACTATAATGATATACATAAGATAACTATAATGATATATATGTATATATATGTATAAATGATTAAAATTTATCTATAGAGTTTGTTATATTGAGTTATTGACGCCTTCAACCATGTTTTACAACATATAAAGCATAAGCAGGACTATATTTGGTGAGAATAGAGAGGTTTCATACTTCTTTTTAGTCTAAAAGTTATAAAGTGAAAAAAAGTGAGAATTAACGTTAGAGATGGCTTTTTAGATGCTTTCATAATCACAAGTACATGGCATTAAACATTTTCAAAACACGGCAAAGTGCCAAAATAATTTTAGCAATGATAGATAAGCTCTATTTAGGGCTAAAACTACCTTGTTGGTGGTCTTTTCTTAAAAAAACTCCATAAGAAAATGATTTTCAATCTACATTGTAATTTAAAGGTCACGAATTTTGATGAACCAAACGTTCTGATTTTATCTTTTATAAAAGTGATCACATTTAAACATGATTTGACCTAGTATACTCTTTAGGCATAGCATCAATATTTCTTAGAAATTCTTTTTATTTTTTTACATTTACCGTTTGACATGCGTTTTGTTTTTGTTGTTTTTGTTTTTGGACTATTATAATGTCGATTTTGGTAATAAAAATATATTTGGTGCGGCCTTATTTTATTTTATACAGTGTTAAAATACTTCGTGAATAGTGGGCTAAAACCAAAATACCAAAAAATTATTTTTTATTGTTTTGACAACTGTTCATGACTCAAAACCATAACATAGTCCAATACCGGCCAAAAACAAAACACCTAAACCATAGTTCCCAAACGTGCTTCGATTTTTTTTTCAAAACATTCCTACAGCAAAAATTGAGAAAGAGTGAGAAATAAAGATATTGATCAATTTCTATTTTAGCCAAAAACAAAACGTCTAAAACAAAACGCATGCCAAGCATACCATTGGATTGCAATTTATATATATATATTTTGTTTGGACGGTTCATTTATGACGTAAGGCTTAGAAAATTGTAAAGCATCAGCAATGTGACAAACAAAAAAGCAGAGACTTTGACTTGAATAGGAACGGGGGCCATTTGTTTCAAAGCGTGAGCTCATGGCCCAGCCCGTCAAACAAGGAAAAATGGAATTGACGCCGTTATATTTTTTTGTGTTAGGAGTTTGGTTTGTCACAAAGAAACATTGCCAGTTTGCTCTCCATTGATTTACTTCATATGCTCTATATATTTAATTATAAAATCAAGTATAACTTAATTTCTTTTTAAATTTATATGTATATATATATATATACATATTTTGGAGTATTTTGTTTCTTTTATCGAAAAAGAAAACATACGACACACTTAACATAAGCTGGGTAACAAAGAGATTAAAGCTAATAATATAGGTCACGCCACAATTTAGAGCAATATGTATTATGTAACCCACCGAGATTAGTGCTCTCAACATAACTCGCAGGGACAAGACACCTCTCGTACCACTAATCTAACAAATAATTGGAAAATGAAAAGGAAAACTAGGAGCCATTGAAGTTTTGTACTTTCTTTCGTATTGTATTTAGTTGAGTTGAAAAAAAAAAAAAAAAGAAGAATATAAGCAATACTATGGGCGTGTTTTGTTTGTAATTTTAAAAATAATTTTTAAAAAATAAAAAATATATATAATACTATTTTCAGATAATTGTAAAAGACATGTGTACATTTTTTTTAATTTTCACTTCTCTGAAAACAAAAAATTGTTTCTAGAGTGATAAACAAGCAAGTACTATGATTTGACTATTATACTATTCTATTACCAAAGACAATGTAACGTACTAATATTTTTTTGCATTCTAAAATAAAAGGTCAATAGTTCAAGTACCCATAAGGCAACATGAGTGTTTGAGAGTGTTCCTTATTAATTAAAACAAAAAAAAAAAAAATGTATGAGGGAATTTTTTGATAGGATAAGAATGATAAAAGAAACGAGAAAAGGCTTTTGAGAAGAAGAGATAGGTGGGAAAGAAAGACACATTCTACATGCAGAATTAAAATTGCGAACTCTACAATAATGGGAGTCTTTACATGTCTAACCCTTTTAAAATAGTTGAGAGAAGCTTTCCTCCTCTCTCTTTCCCTTTCTTCTTTCCCTCTGCCAAAAAGAAAGACCATCTATCCATCCCCTTTCCTTCCTCTCCATTTCTTACAACTTTTCCTCCATTCCGACTAGCTCTAACTTCTCTTTTCATTTTTGAATGCTTTTTCAACGTTTGTCACGTTTCCTTTTCCAGAAGTTTCCTCAGGAATATCCATCAAAGGAACAATGCATCTTGAAAAAGTAAAGGGAATATGCATTTTAGATAAAACAGGCCCTCCACTTATAAACTTCTTGTCCTTAACTCCCATAAATAAAAATCAGAAGGAAACACATACTTTACAAAAAGGAAACTAGCAAGAAATGGTAGAAGCCCTTAAAAGTAATTTTTCAACACCGACCTATTCAATTTTCAAAGTCAAGGGACACCCTTTGCCATTTAACTCTCGAATCTATAAATTAGAGCTAAGTACTCAATATTAACATAAATAGAGTACCATTCTCATCATTCTAGAGTCAGAAGATTTCCATATTGTCAAACACAAGAATATATTGGTAAGCAAAGAAAAAACTGGTGGTTGGTTACCACTATAGGTCACAAGTCCTCTTATTTTCCAAGTCATCTGAACCACAACCCTTTTCACCAAATACATATATAATCCTCTCTCACCTTTCTCATTAATTTGCTTCACCCTCAACAGTCCAAATCATACCATTACTGTTCTATTCAACATGGTTCTCAAACACGCAATGAGAGCCATCCTACCTTGTTGTTTCAAAGCTAAAAAGAGCTCGCCGTTGAAGCAGAAAAAAAACCAAGTTTCGAAAGAAAATTCTCTCCAGAGGATCTCACTTTCAGATTTAAGTGACCCCGGATCCCCACTTTCAGCCAGTGACATCTCAAATTCTCTCATTGGATCAAACCTTCATATCTTTACGCTCACCGAGCTGAAAGCAATCACGCGGGACTTCTCCGGTAGTAATTATCTGGGAGAAGGCGGGTTTGGACCGGTGTACAAAGGGTTCATTGATGACAAGATTAGACCGGGGTTGGAGGCTCAAACTGTTGCAGTTAAGTTGCTGGATTTGGATGGCACACAAGGCCACAGGGAATGGCTGGTAAGCATTTCATTGTCTGTCTTAGACACACACACAACACACACACGACATATGCCTAGCTTGAAATATCACTTTAAATGTGTAGGCTGAAGTCATCTTCCTTGGGCAATTGAGGCATCCCCATCTGGTGAAACTGATAGGATATTGCTGCGAGGATGAGCACAGGCTTCTTGTGTATGAGTACATGGCACGTGGCAACCTCGACAATCAACTATTTAGAAGTAATATTTTTACCTATATCTTACTGATTTTCCATCATGTGATGTGATTTCAAGAGGGAAAATTATAATTATAATGCATTCTAACTTATGCAGGATACTCGGTTCCCTTGCCATGGTCAACGAGGATACAAATCGCAGTTGGTGCTGCAAAAGGCCTTGCTTTCCTCCATGAAGAAGAGAAACCAGTAATCTATAGGGATTTTAAAGCTTCAAACATCTTATTAGACTCGGTAATCTCTTTCTCTTTTTGAACTTCATTCGATATGTGTGTTTTACTAGGTGTTCAAAAGAACATGTTGTCTCTGTTCCTATGTGCAAGACCATCCCATGTAGCATGAAAAGAAGCTAAGGAATTAACCAAGACTTGTTCTCTTTCCAGGATTACACTGCCAAGCTCTCTGACTTTGGGCTGGCAACCGACGGTCCAGAAGGAGATGACACACATGTCTCGACTCGTGTCATGGGCACACGAGGCTACGCTGCCCCCGAGTACATCATGACAGGTAAAAGTTCATTTTTCATTATTGGTTCCGCCTATCCATTATTTTGCACAAAGTGACTACTGATTAAAAACCTATATACCTTCTTTTAAGCATAATTACTTTAATTGGTAGTGCTAAAATATATAACCTTCTAAGTTTTGTTGTCTTTCAGGTCATTTGACAGCTATGAGCGATGTTTACAGCTTCGGGGTAGTTTTCCTAGAACTCCTAACGGGGAGACGTGCCATGGACAAGACTCGCCCCGGTAGAGAGCAATGCCTGGTAGAATGGGCACGGCCTCTTTTGAAGGATCCCCAGAAGCTTGAAAAAATAATGGACCCAAGACTTGAAGGACAATACTCCATACAAGGGGCTAAGAAAGCAGCCTTATTGGCCTACCAGTGCTTGAGCCACCACCCGAAGTCCAGACCATCAATGAGCAACGTGGTCAAGACTTTGGAGCCTTTGGCGAACTTAGATGACATCCCAGCAGGGTTCTTTGTATACATTGTTCCTACTGAAACCGGGAAGGGAAACAATTTTCAAGAGAAAGGAAATAAGGATGAAGAGAAGGTGGCCGACAACAAAGAGAAGGGAATTGAAGGGAAAGAAAAGGAGGAAGCAAAGAGAGAGAATGGCTGCCACCAGCACCGCAATGGTTACAGGCATAGGCATCATATAAGGTCGATCAGACCACGCGCCGTCTACTCCGATACTGCTTTATATAAGACTCTTAGGAATGATTTGAAGTCTCCCAACCACAGGGGATGAACAAGTGTTAATCATACTGTATATGGAGTTCTTCCTCATAAAAATAAAAAAAAAAAAAAAAAAAAGTTTCAGTTGTGTATGAACAAAAAAATCTACAGTTTTTAATTTACAGCAAAAAGTAATTTGCAAATTTACTGGTAAAAATTTCACCGCAAAGTTCAATTAGTTCATAACTCTGGGTGGATTTAAAAATCAGTCAAATTTGATGGTTGATGTATGAACAACATTACATGTTATCCAATTTTACATCAAAATTTATTCATTCAATTATTACATAGAATTGGTGGTGTATCAAAAAAGTCATTATCAAGTGTTCCTTTCAATAAAGAAAGAGTTACAAAAAAAAGCCATTCTTTTCCTTTCTGCCTACCAATCTCAGATATAAAGAGAAAGAGTTACAATTATCATTACTTCTCTTATACTTTTTTTATTTTTTAGCGGTTCAAATTTAATTGACACAATTCTTTTCAATAAGTGTCACTCTCATGTTCCGAGCACGCTATCGCTCAAATTTTCACTATTTGTGACTTAACTTTGCCGCTCTTGCACTTTCATTCTTGTTCAAATTCTCACTATTTATGATTTAATTTTGCCAGTCTTGCGCTCCCGCTCTTAAATTAATGATTATTTAAAACGCTCAACTTATAATTGACGTTAACATTTTAACCAGAATTTATTTTTATTTCATTTCTCTCTCCTACGTCTCGGAAAACAGTGCATTATTATTCGTACAACGTTATAATCGAACAATGTTCTTTTTTCGTAAGTTCCTGGACTTTTACTGCTGAAATTTATTTTATTTTATTGAATTAGGTTTATTGAACTTATGTAAGATTATAATTTCAACAATATATGTGATGAGTCTACTTAGTTTTGTACGGTTGTTAAGTAGTAACGGGTGAGGAAGGGCATGTTCAATGTAAGGAAATTTCCATTGCTGCTTGCTATATAATTTTTCTTTCAAACATGTACACTTACTAGTTCTCAAAGTCCACAAATACAGATGTAACTCTATCGTTGAATATTGAATAATAGTAAGCTTAATGTAGACAGAAAAACCCAACCACCACATTTAATCAAAGAAGATCCACAAAATCACACACACAAACACACACAATGTATACACAGTTTAGCAACTTTAGAGCCGCAGCATCCTACAATTTAACAACCTCTAGCTAACATTAGAATTTAGAAGATTTATGAAGTTGGAAAGCAACAAATTCTCTTTTTCCCCCTTTTTTTTATTTTATTATTATTATTTTTTTAGTGCAAGAATGTATAAAGTCAATGAACTAATACATCATCAAATAATACCCAATCTAAATCTACCTCTAACATTATGCGTGTGTTTCCACAACACGAGAAAAAACTGGTTAACTGAGAGCATAGACACTATTGTAAGGGTGGGTGCATGGGTTGTGTCAGACACATTTTTAGCATGGATATTGGACACTCAGTGAAATATGGTCAGGATACATGTGGTGGCTAGGAGTGTTCTAACCTTGAAATTTGAATATATTTTGTTCCTAGTTAGATATGACTCGGACGTGCTTAGAATATAAAAAGGTAGTTTTGTAATTATTTATTTATTTATTTTAAAATGAAATTCACATTCAATTTCAAAATATATTGTGAATTAATTAGAAAAATAATATAAAATTTTAGAAGACAATATACGTCAATCCAACTCTAAGCTCCAAATTAGTGATTATATTCATGATAATGTAGATAAATGAACATAAATCAATTTTTGTATATAAAAAAAAGACGTATCTCTATTGTGTCCATGTCTTACTTTTTTCAAATTTGACATAGTGTCGCATCTATATCGTATAATTACCCGTACTTCAGAGGTGGTCAAGGATCTCCGCGTCTCGCTTAATATTATTATAATAATTAAGGATTCAGAAATCAACCATGGTGTGAAGACTCTTGTCTTGCCATCATCAGATGTGAAAAGAAAAACAACTTGGTTGAATACATGTAAAACAACTTGCAGAAACTGTTGACAAACAAGTTTAATCATCATAACTTGGAAATAATACCATTTTAAACATGGATTTTAACTTGTTTTCTTCAATTACTTGTTACATTTTCAAACCTCCTTGGAGGAAAGTAAGTGTGAAATTTTATACTGGAGTTGAAACTGAAAAAGGAAATGCAGAAACTGCATTCATGGGATAAAAATGCTGCAAGTGCAGCAGTTTGAACGCGCTAATGCTTCCTTCGGTGGGAAGGAAAGAAGAAATGTGGAGAGAAAATAAGAAGGAAGAAAACTTCCTTCATTTGGTAGAGGCAGAGATGATACAAGGAAATAAATGATAATCGGTTCTATCAAGCTAAAATAAATGATAATAGGTTCTGTCAAGCTAGCGATATACTAAGTATTTATCAACGATTTCCACATAAAGCGGTGAGATGATATCTTGAGCAGTTACATATTCGGAACCCTTGACACAAATAAACGTGACACAAATAAACGCGGCACAAGTTCCATATAGAGTACTTCTCAATACAATTTCTTTTAAATTCATTAAAATTTCATGTACTAATTCTTGAATACCTACTACGATAGAATATTCGTGTCATATTTTCTCAGATTTTGGGCATCTGATACACGTTCCTTCTATTTCTCCCAGCAATGCCTAGTGTATTTCTCCCAGCAATGCTCTTCGCATCGCAATGCCTAGTGTGTCAGCTTGGCCATTCATAGGAAACAGAACAAAGCATCCATAATAAAGACGCTTACTATCTGCTCTTTATTCAACACACTTCCACTGTAGTCATCCTTTCTCCTTTACAAATTTTCATCCATCCAAAAATAGGCAAAAGAGATAAGGAAATTTTTAATTAAATACTATCCTAAATTATATAAGTTGTAAATTACACTACTATCCTCTATAAATTACAATATTATAGATTTTACTAGATATAATGGTAAAAATGTTTTAAAACTTTTTCTTTTCTTCTCTCCAACAAAACATAGTTAATTGTGAGGTTATTCTCTTCTTTAACATCCAACCTAACGATGTCTCGTCATCCTGAACTGAAGCATAAGAGATTACATATAATGTGATCTAAAATCAAGCACAACCATAATAAGCTCATGCTCAGCAAATCAAGAAGACATATATAACAAAGATATGGACCATGTTATTAAAACAAACGGGGAGTAAATATTAACCATGGTAAGATTCAATCAATCTCACCTAGTGTGACCACCAAAAGAGAAGAACAAGCAACAGCCGAGCCTTTATGGGAATAATAACACTAAGTGGCCATACCTCCGAGGCTCATTTTGAGGATGACAAAAAAGCAAATGCAGTTTGGGGATCAAACATTATCTCGATGCTGCTTGAGGAACGTTTTGAAGTCGGATAATACTTCCCACTTTGTTTATAGTTGAACAGTACTTAGCCCTGGCTCTCACTAGGTTCTGTTCTCCAACCACTGGTGATGAGTTAGTCTCTTTAAGAAGGAAGCATCACATTGTTCAGTTGCTGTAATCCTCCACCAGGCAGTAATCTTGTGCATCCAAAACGAGCTCTAAGTTTTCTCCAGGAAGGTTCAGAGTCACACCAAGTTAAACATTTTTGCTAGAGCTGTATCGCTTCCAGATATCCTTGATAGACTCAAAACCTCACCAATAAGAACCGGAATGAATCCAAGTAACCAACCAATTGCAGTCCCAATTACGTTGTATCTCATGTGCAATTGTGGTAGGACAGAAAAAATGTTGTCCTTGTTTAAGAATTTTAGCAAGATGTCATATCTTATGCGACCGGGACATCAATTCCATAAAGTTAGATTCTCTTTTCTTTTCTTTTCTTTTCTTTTCTTCTGGCTTTCCTTGAGTGAGCTTTTGTCGGACCTTTGTCATCATCATGAACACGTAGCCAGTCTGAGTGGTACTTCTCATCATATGGAACGACCTCGCCATCAACAAATGGTTCTCCTTCAAGAAATACAAAGCAATTTTCGAATAACAATCATGAGATAGACCTAAACTTATTTAAAAATCCCAAGTCCTTAAAAACACATTTTTCATGAAGCTGGGATAAGCAGGAGAGCTCAGAATGTGTCAAAAATTAAAATTTATCTGTGCCGTAATCAAAACGAGAAAATTCCATGTCCTGCCATCATGTGAAAATTTTATGTCTATATGCAGCAAAACTGATCGAGCTTATTTGAATAATGAATTCAAACATCAATTTAGTTTGCTGGATGAAGTTGGGACGAAACTGACGGTTGATTTGATTCCTATTTCTAATTAAGCTCCTTGAGAAAAATACAGATAAACTATTCAACTCTTGCACAAGAAAATCCCTCCCTCCCTCTTCTTTTTTCGATGGGAGGTGAGGGAAATAATAGCTGAAAAGTGTAGTCTTTTTAATACCATCTTCGTTGTTATACATGCTAAATTGGGCAGTTTTCAGTAAATCAAGCTATGGGGGTTGCCTCCCGAATATCTGTGACGATGGGCATTTGTTTGTAGCCCGTCGTCCTTTATTCAGTTCCTCTAATGCCATTGCAGTTTTTCGCTTAACAAAATGCTTTAAATTAATTAATAAATAAAAAAGAATTGTTCAATCTACGCTACACTTAATGCAAATTAAGTGAATTGATCTATGGGATTTTCTCACGAAATAGGCAAGAGAGTGCGTGTTTGTAGCCCATTATTCTGTCTTCAGTTCTTTTAATGCCACCGTGGCTTGTTGCTTTGCCACTCATGCTTCAAATTAACAAATTTTATTTCTGGTCTACTATGATTTATTTGCACTTAAAAAATAAACTAACTGGCTAAATGCAAAGTCGCACATAAATGATACGCATGCATCAACTATCATTAGAACAAGAATATTCAGTGTTCTTAAATATTGATGTACTGTATATATTGAACAAGGAGCGATACAACAGACACGGAATTGTCATTTGAAGATGCAAAGGGAGAACAAAGCAGAAATAGTACCTCCATACTCATTTTCACCAGGATACAAATGAGAATCTGGTAGAACCCATCTCACATTGGGCAGGGCTGCAACAAAAGAAGTGTGTACTAAAAACAGATTAAAAGCTATAAACAAAAAAGAAACTAAATGCACAGTTAAACAAGCAAATGAAAAGGGGCTTAGTTAAATAACGTTACATTTGATCATGTGAGTCATACTTTCTGGAATTTTGCAACTAAATGCATAGTAGTACTTGGTAGAAACTGAGTAAATTGTTTTTTTAGCTTTCTCCTCACTGCAAAAAACCAGTGTAACTTATCCAAAAAAAAAAAAAAAGTGTGTAAATTCCTAATATAAGCAAATCATAGGGTTGTCACAAAGGCACAACAAAAAAAATTAACCCCTCTTGGGGGGAAAAAAAAAAATTTAACCCCTCAGAAGAACTTGAAACTACCATCAATGTTCTGCTTGGCTGCTGGGAAAATTAAAAGGAAGTAAAAGTGTTAATTTTGAATTTTAGTCTTTTCATTATTTGGGACCCAAGAAAATGAAGAAAAAAAAACCAACCGAAATATGCCTTGTAAGGGTAAATTGTCATTGAGTAATATGAAGATAATATATTTAAATCTCATACAAATGTAATTCTTGTTTATTAGAGAATTTGGTCTATTTATAAAATGAGAGCTCTAATAACTGGACTGTAGAAAATGACTAATTACGATCTTCAGTCAAGCATTTAAGTTTCTAATTTTACCCCTTTGTATTAAAAATTCAATAACCTAAACCTATTTGAGAAAATTCTCTCTTTGGATTGCTATATGTAAAACAGTGTTCGACTTGCCGAGCATGCCAAATTTTCATTATACACATGAACATCTAAATTGATAGAGATTTTAAAAATAAATTTAATTTTCATTATACACGTGAACATCTAAATTCATAGAGATTTTTTGAAAAAAAAAAATTAAAATATAATTGTTACAGGTCACTTACCAAAGTGTAATATTGAAAGATTTCATTTTGTAAGGATAAATGATAAATGCACTCCACTTTTAATGTGAAATGACAGCATCATCATTCAATTAATCAAGTATAATGAGTATTACGTTTTTTAGTTTAAGAAAAACAAAATTAACAAAAAATGAGTACATTTATATATTGTGTGTGTGTGTGTGTGTGTGTGTGTGTGTGAAGTGCATTTATCACTTCTCTTTTGTACATAGAAGTTGATTTTATATTAAAATATAATTAAATTTGAAACATACATCATCATCATCCATCATGGATTTTCTTTTTCCACTCATTACTATCATAGGTCATATCCTCTACTAGATTTAAGTTTTTGAAATCATTTCTTATCACTTCACAACTTTTGGTCAACCTTTTTGTCTCTTACCCTCTATGCAAATCAATATCTCTTTTCACAGATGCATCGTTGAATATGCCCATTACACCCAAGTCTACTTTCTCTTATTCTCTCCCTAACAGACGCCACTCCTAGTCACTTCCTAATTCGTTGATTATTAATCATATATTTCCTAGTTATTCCTAGTCCATCTTAACATCCGCATTTCATCACATGGATGTGTTGTTCGTGTTTCTTTCTTAGAGCCCAACATTTCGTCTCATATAACATAGCCAGTCTAATAATTGTCCTATATACTTTCCCTTTTAATTTATTTAGCATTCATTTCTCACATAGAACCCCACTAGCTTTCCTCCACTTTGGCCAACCTATTCCAATTCTACTATTTACATCATCATCAATCTCTCCATCCTTTTGTACAATTGATACTTTTGTACAATTGATCCTAAGTATCGAAAGAAATTACTTTGAGTAATATTTTGGTTTTGAATCTTTATCACTATATTATAGTTTCTAATATTACTACAAATTTACATTCCATGTATTCCGTTTTAGTTCTTCTAATTTTTAAGCCTAGGGCCAAATTTGAAAGATACATCAAATTATAAATAAATAAATCCTAAAAAAAAATTGGAGTGAGTAAAAGCCAATCCATATGCATTAGACCCAAAAAAGGAAATTACACAATGTAAATTTATTCATGTACATTGGGCAGGGCTGCAACAAAACAAGTGTATACTAAAAACAGATTAAAAGCTATAAACAAAAAAGAAACTAAATGCACAGTTAAACAAGTAAATAAAAAGGGGCTTAGTTAAATAACGTTAAATTTGATCATGTGAGTCATACTTTCTGGGATTTTGCAACTAAATGCATAGTAGTACTTGGTAGAAACTGAGTAAATTGTTTTTTTAGCTTTCTCCTCACTAAAAAAAACCAGTGTAACTTATCCAAAAAAAAAAAAAAGTGCGAAAATTCCTAATATAAACAAATCATAGGGCAGGGCTGCAACTAAACAAGTGTGTACTAAAAACAGATTAAAAGCTATAAACAAAAAAGAAACTAAATGCACAGTTAAACAAGTAAATAAAAAGGGGCTTAGTTAAATAACGTTACATTTGATCATGTGAGTCATTTATTCATTTATTCACAGTAAAAGCCAATCCACAATGTAAATTTATTCATGTACATTGGGCAGGGCTGCAACAAAACAAGTGTGTACTAAAAACAGATTAAAAGCTATAAACAAAAAAGAAACTAAATGCACAGTTAAACAAGTAAATAAAAAGGGGCTTAGTTAAATAACGTTACATTTGATCATGTGAGTCATACTTTATAGGATTTTGCAACTAAATGCATAGTAGTACTTGGTAGAAACTGAGTAAATTGTTTTTTTAGCTTTCTCGTCACTGCAAAAAAACATTGTAGCTTATCCAAAAGTGTAAATTCCTAATATAAACAAATCATAGGGTTGTCACAAAGGCACAACAAAAAAAATTAACCCCACTTGGGGGAAAAAAATTAAAAAATTAACCCTCAGAAGAACTTGAAACTAACATCAATGTTCTGTTTGGCTGCTGGGAAAATTTAAAAGAAGTAAAAGGGTTAATTTTGAATTTTAGTCTTTTCATTATTTGGGACCCAAGAAAATGAAAAAAAAAAAAAAAAAGAAAAGAAAAAAAGAAAAACCACCGAAATGTGCCTTGTACTATTTGATAAGGGTAAATTGTCATTGAATAATATGAAGATAATATATTTAAATCTCATACAAATGTAATTATCTTTTATTAGAGAATTTGGTCTATTTATAAAATGAGAGCTCTAATAACTAGACTGTAGAAAATGACTAATTATGATCTTCAGTCAAGCATTTAAATTTCTAATTTTACCCCTTTATATTAAAAAATCAATAACCTAAACCTATTTGAGCAAATTTTCTCTTTGGATTGCTTTATGTAAAATAGAGTTTGACATGCCGAGCATGCCAAATTTTCATTATACACATGAACATCTAAATTGATAGAGATTTAAAAAAAAATAATAATAATTTTCATTATACACATGAACATCTAAATTCATAGAGATTTAAAATATATATATATATATATATATATATATATATATATATAATTGTCCAAAGTATAATATTGAAAGATTTCATCTTGTAAGGATAAATGATAAATGCACTCCACTTTTAATGTGAAATGACAACATCATCATTCAATTAATCAAGTATAATGAGTATTTACGTTTTTTAGTTTAAGAAAAACAAATTTAACAAAAAATGAGTGCATTTATATATGTGTGTGTGTGTGAAGTGCATTTATCACTTCTCTTTTGTGCATAGAAGTTGATTTTATATTAAAATATAATTAAATTTGAAACATACATCATCATCATCCATCATGGATTTTCTTTTTCCACTCTTTCATCATAGGTCATATTTTCTACTAGATTTAAGTTTTTGAAATCATTTCTTATCAGTTCATACCATGTTACTTTTGGTCAACCTTTTTGTCTCTTACCCTCTATGCAAATCAATATCTCTTTTCACAGATGCATCGTTAAATATGCCAATTACACCTAACTCTACTTTCTCTTATTCCCTCCCTAACAGAGGCCACTCCTGTTCACTTCCTAATTTGTTGATTATTAATCATATCTTTCCTTGTTATTCCTAACATTCCGCATTTCATCACATGGATGTGTTGTTCATGTTTCTTTCTTAGAGCCCAACATTTCGACTCATATAACATAGCCAGTCTAATAATTGTCCTATATACTTTCCCTTTTAATTTATTTAGCATTCATTTCTCACATAGAACCCCACTAGCTTTCCTCCACTTTGGCCAACCTATTCCAATTCTACTATTTACATCATCATCAATCTCTCCATCCTTTTGTACAATTGATACTTTTGTACAATTGATCCTAAGTATCGAAAGAAATTACTTTGAGTAATATTTTGGTTTTGAATCTTTATTACTATATTATCATTTCTAATATTACTACAAATTTACATTCCATGTATTCCGTTTTAGTTCTTCTAATTTTTAAGCCTAGGGCCAAATTTGAAAGATACGTCAAATTATAAATAAATAAATCCTAAAAAATAAATTGGAGTGAGTAAAAGCCGATCCATATGCATAAGTCCCATAAAAGGAAATTAACGTTTAGTAACAGAGCATAGAAATGAGTCAGCAAGTCTAAACTCAGTTCTAAAGCACCGAGTCAAAGAATATAGATATACCTTCCCAAAGCCATAGCTAGGGTTTCGATATATCGTCGGACGATCTGGTCTCGTTGTGGGTAACCATCAGGAGGCTCCATGAACACGACCCAGTGCCCGTAGTCGCAACCGTCTAGAAGATTCGCCACCCGGGTTAAGTCGGAGCCCTGAGTCGCCGGCGAATCGTTGCTTGAAAAAAATCTGAAAAGAGAAGTAAACTGATGGTGACGGTGACGGCAACAAGGAGTAGCGGAGAGGGCCGAGGTGAAATGGGGTTTGAGGTACAGGGTAACGGCAGCCGTTAAGTTTGACGGTTTTCGTATGATGCTTCGAATCATTGTTTTTCCACATAAACCCTTCTGGGAAATCTGTTTACGGAGGTTCAAGACGATAAGAGTATGAAAAGGGCAGAGAGGGAGGGGTAGGTATCGGATGCTACGGTAACCCTGAAGTTTGATGTGCTGGTATCCAAGGAGATTGATGTATTTAGTGGACTAGTCTCAGCTGGGCCAATTGAGGCCCACTGGGTCGATAAAATCGAAGGAAGTTGACGGGAGATAAGCCCAATTGTTATTAAACAATGAAGAGGATTAATGAACCTTTTTATAAGACATTTAAAATTATTAGTGAAATTGTATGTGTGTTGATTTGTAAACCATGTCAGTGGAACTCGCATGGGTGGGCCAGTGGTTTAGGGTCTGATAGTACGAGTCTAAACTCGGGAGTTTTTTAATAATACGAGTCCTGTTTTGAATTGTATCAAAAGTCACCAGATCGAAAGTGCTCTTCGTTATTTTTTCACCACTTTAAAAACCCTTTTAAGAAATGACCTTCAATTGAACAATTTGAAGCGAGAAATGACTTGAAATTACTTAACTTAATTACATACAAAAGACCAGTAAATCTTACATCGTTTACGTAACTTTCAAAAGTTTCCTTGACTATGTTATATTCAGTCTTCCCCGAGCAGTGTTATAATCTCGGACGAAGTCACAGCGGAATTAAAACGCCATTTTGTGTTTTCAAAATCAAATTTTCAAAGCGTTCTACCGGAAGCTTTAATTTGAAGGTAAAAGTTACACGTTGTCATAAAAGAGGTTTGTTATCCACGCACTGATAAACTTAGTTTAGAAATAATAGGTCCACCCTTTCACCATTTTAGATTATGAATTTCTCGGTGCAAAGAAAAAATAAATAAAAAATTGAATTTCTCCAGTGAGTAAAAATTGGTAAATAAATTCACCAGTAAAATTCACCATTTAAAGTATTGAAGAAATTTTTGAAGTACCAAGACAAAAAATATCAAGTTAATGCAAAATTGAAAATGGAAGCTGTGTCATGATATATATAGCTAATGAGCATAAAACCAAATGTTGGCTCAATATTCATTCTTCAAATAAAACTACATCAAGTAACCCCTTTCTAAATGTGGTTCCATTAACAACCTCAAAACTTGCTTCTCTTAATTTTTTTTTTTTCTCTTCTTTCTTTTTTTCCCCTCAATTCATTCCTCCTCGTATCGCACAGTAAGAAAACAAAACAAAAGTCATCTGCCTACAGAATAGGAGACATAATTTCGTCATCCTCAACCTTTAAAAACTGGAGAAATATTTTGACACAAAAAAATGAGGGGCAAAAAACTGAATTAAACAGGAAATTATCAAAAAAAAAAAAAAAAAAAGAAGAAGAAGAAAAAATGATATAGACAATCGCTCTCGCTGAGACCTTTGACATTATACTTGGCACCAAAAACCCGATCGTAATAATAAACAGCTTCCGCCAATTTACACCTGCTGAACTAAAGCATAAAAACAAATTACTCAACCAAGGGAGAACTTAGATATCCAAGAGATAAATAAAATAAAATTTGTACCGAGTTATAGTGTGTTCATCCGTACCTCACTGGCTATGGAATAAGCCCACACAAGTTATTTACACACAGAGGAAAACCCTGCAATATTTACAAATATAAATGCATTATACAATATTTTGGAGAGACTGAATTTGATGGAACACAAGAAGTTACTGGTACCCCACCTATGGTCGAACAAAAACAAATTGCCACAACTGGTTGCAGTAGAAAAACATGTGAACCGTTTAGCAATCATAATGATCGTGTCTATATATTCTGACAATGCTATCTGAATACAAGGCTTCCATTCTGCTGGAGTCTCAAATTTTCAATTAGTGACAGATAGAATGACTTCAGCGCCTTGATATCATTACCCTGACAACCAAAACATCATCAGAGACGGCAAAGATAAGCAATTAGCACCACATAGTTCAGCTGGCCAAGAATTTTGGATCCTTTCAAAGATAAAGCACAAATATGGTCTATTCAGAAATAGGCCATAGATAGCCCTTGACCAGACTAGACCTCTACATTCCAAGCTGAGCTCGGAACTTGAACAGGTGCCACAAAAATTCCAGCTAAAGAAAATGCTTCAGGAATTCCCTAAGATTGGGCATCATTCCTATAAACAGTAGATCCTAGATTGGGTATCATTCCAGCCTCAAGCACAGCTCGACGACCCAATCCAAGTTTCATCTGACCTTTAACAGGCTAAGCCCAGCTGATCCCGAGGAAAACCATGACTGACTAAACATACAAAGTAGACTGGATTTTTGAACATGAATATTATCTCAAGTAAATGGGGGGAAAAATTACGAACACAATTAAATCAAAAAATTGTTAGCAAATCAAACATTTCCACTGGTGTGATAAGAATTATTTTTTACTGAATTAATGCCAGCGTTAATTATGATACCTGCAACTTTTGACAATATTGCTCTGCCAAATGTTGAGGGCAATGTGCATCTGTGAAACCTTTCAATACAAAATGTCCAAGAAAATCATTGCCAAATTTCTCGTACATGATCTTCTGAGCCACCACTATCTCTCCAAACAAAACAAGCTGCCATACAAATCCAAAAACACAATTGGAAAATTAGTTAGTCAGAAATAACAAAATCAGCAAGTTCTTCCACCAAACTACATAAAACCAAACTGCACATCCAAATATTATCTATTCAGTCATCAAATATCAAATAAATATCCATGCTAACAATCCATTTCTCTCCCCACTCTTCTAATCCCAGCTTCCAGCAATAGTTGTCGATTCACATACTAAAGAATGAACAAAATGAAACAAGGAAGAACTTCGAGTGCAAGCAAAATGAAATTGGTGGTATGGCACAAGGCTGATTTGGCCTAATATAATTGAGACATCGTAACAAGGATCATCACGTGGTGCCATGATAAAAGCTTGGGATGATAAACATGAGGACATCAAGAATACAACATTAAAATGAATAATCCACAGGCAGCCACTTTGGAAGGTAAATCCAGTTGAGATGAAGCATAAGTGGTTTAGTGACTCCGTTATCATGTGAAAAAAAAAAGATGAGGAATAACATGAACATGTCAGATAAATTAATCTGAACTAGTTCAGAAAGATTAATCTAGCAAACAAAACTGCCCAAACCCATATTTGTCCTTCTTGTCAATGCTGGTTGTGTCAGGCCTCTTAGAGCACCCCATAATCCACCACCGGGTACATGCCGTCCCCCAGTCCCACATGCACCAAGCAATTACCAGGAAAATTCCCTAGGGGGTTCGTTTGGTTAGCGTAAAGTAACTAGAAAAGAAAAGAAAATTAAATTAAAATTTTTAAATTTTGTAAGTGTTTGGTTAGAGTGAAAAATAAAATTTTTGGGAAAATAGGATTCCCATAACTAGTTAATTTTCCACAAAATGATTCTCGCATAAAACACAGGAAAGTTTTACTTTCTCGCAAGAGTGGTGCATTTATTTCTTAATTTCCAATTATGCCCCTAATCCAAAGATATCCTATTGTTGTACAATCATATGCAAACACAAATAGTTTAAAATTATGAAACATGCAACTCAACAAAGTATTGTTTCAAAATCCAAACACCTTAAAATATTTATCTTTATCACAATCTATTAGTCTTATAATTCTGTACTCTTGTATAATATTTGAACATCAAAACTTTTGTACCAATCTCCACAGCTGAACTATCTTTCTCATGAGTTCCACCTTTAAAAAAATATTATCCAGCTTTATTTTAAGTATAAATAATTTGAATATATATATAAGCAATTATATTATTATTTTTAATAATATATCATTTTACTATTTTGTTGCCTATAAAAGAGGGTTCATCTAACACAAATTCCTTTTTTTTTTAGTATTTGAAATAATAAGGGTAATTTTGGAAAGTAAATAATTTTCTTTTCAGTTTCATGCTATCCAAACTAACAAAATATGATTTTCTCACAACTTTCTTGAAAAAATTTCCTACAAACCAAATGCATACTAGAAACTTGATTCTCCTTTTTTTCACTTTATTTTCTTTCACTTTCACTTTCCATCATAATTATCCATCTAACCAAACCAACCCTAGGGGTGGCCCCAAGGGTATTAAAACTCCCGACCTACCCAAACCCAGGTTCACCTGATACTACTTATTCACATATAGAGATGGATAGAAAGATAGATAACAGGATCACAACTGCACATACACATTAATGTGTTTATTCTTCTGTCCTCCCTTTTTCTTAATCTGTGATTCATCAGAAAGTTCCACCATTCAAGCCAACTTGCACTTCCTCTTTCAACACACATACACAAACACACAAAACTAGCTGGCTAACAGGACTAGTAATCAGGTCAAAAGGACAACACTATTAAACCATAGAGGGGGGAGATTTTGCTGCATAAACTCTGGTCCAATTGTGGAACAGACCGATCAAACCACCTAAATTCTATTTCGATAGGATGTACCATTCAACCATAATGTAGATATTAATTCAAACATTATCCATTCATGGGGATTTATAACTTCTGGTACACCTAGTTAATCTGAATTCCAAAAAAAAAAAAAAAAAAAAGCCATAAAAGACCCAAATAAGGTACTAAAACTTGACTTCCAGCACTTCAACTAAAGAAGGCATATATTATAGTATAAATTCCAAACATTTTAGAGGCAGCAATTTATAAGATGTCATATTATCTCCAACAATTATAAAAATAATAATTTTCTTCTAAATTATTTAAATATGTTCATTATGTTTGATGCAGACTCACTACAGATCAAAAAACAAGGTGGATTTGCTTCAACAAGATGCTCATCATTTCAAGTAAAAATTCCAAACATTTTAGAGGCCGCAATTTATAAGATGTCATATTATCTCCAACAATTATAAAAAAAATTAATTTTCTTCTAAATTATTTAAATATGTTCATGATGTTTTGATGCAAACTGACTACAGATCTAAAAAACAAGGTGGATTTGCTTCAACAAGATGCTCATAATTTCAAGTAAAATTTTCCAAGTCCAATAATTGAAATTATAAAAAACCGGGGGGGAAAAAAAAAAAAAAAAAGGGGTCTCTCATACATACAAAAGTATGCTGCCTGACCAATCTCATATCCCCCCCCCCCCCCCCCCCCCCCCCCAAAAAAAAAAAAAAAAAAAAAAAAAAAATCTCCCACCCAGGCATCCAAAAAACACTAGGCATCTAAAATAAATCTAGCCACATAGCAACTAATTCAACAATTGTTTCCTTCTCAGTAAAATGTCAACTTACAGTATTTGCATCACGGAACTCGAAGGACTTGTCAAGCACACTGTATAGACAACAATTAATCGCGAAGGCCTCAATAACGAATTTCTGGAAACCAGGTACCTGAAAACTTTCAATGCTTTATTACAACAAGACAATTCTCACTGCATTAAAGAGAGGGAATTTACCAACGGGCCAGTGGCCTAGTGGTATCAGGCCCTTACTTCCCAAAGGGAGGTCAGGGGTTCAAGCCTCAGTAGAGGCATCTGTGTGTGAGTACCAACTAAGAACAAAAAAAAAAAAGGGGGGGGGGGGGGGGGGGGGGGGGGGGGGGTGGTGTGGAATTTAAAGGGAAAATTACCTTCTCTTCGCCATAAGGCCTGGTGCACCAATCTTTAATTAGTCTAGTAAATATCTGTACACATGCCTAAACAAAATAGAAAATATGTTAGATTAAGCTTATCGGTATATATATTCTACAGGTTCTACGTTAAGTACTCATAACAATTATACAAACCTTTCTTGCAAGGGTATCCTTGTGATTACAGGATGTGTTCAATAGAAACTGCATCATTGGATCCAAGTAGCCCCTGCTTTTGGGAGAAAGGAACACTGAAGACAGATCATGTGTTGTTACCACGTGGAGAAATGTGCATAGTGTTCGTTGAAGCTCTTGTAATTCACGGATTTCCTACAATAGAAAGAAGAAAACATGATATACACATAATGTTAGTCATAAACTTATCCCCTGAGTGGGACAAGAAAGTTGAGGTTGAAACTTAGGGTGAACAATGAATGCTTATTGCAGATTCCAATTTCATTGATGTCACGATCAATGTTCCATGTGTATATTTAGACTTTCACAACTATGTGGAGGGAGGGAGGGAGGGGAAAAGTGATGAAACAAAAGCAAACGTAGTTTGTCATTAAAGAAGTATAAGAAAAATAAAAGACATATACATGCATCTAGTTCAATTTAACTATGAAGTTTCCAATTTGCATATCCAATGTTGACTATTTTCACTGCCAATTTAAATCCTGTTCTATTTTTATTTTTATTTTTTTCATTTTTCTTCACTGTTATTACACTTGATGGTAAATTCAAGTACAACATTTCATTTTACCAGTAGAAGATACGTAAAGTGAGCAGTAACAGAAGTGAAAAGAAAAAGAGAGGACAAATAAAAAGTTCTGGCATTTGTTCAAAACAAGAACAGGAAGATAGTAACTGAATGTCTGTGTGATTCATATGATCGCGGATTGACCATAGTAACAAGTGTATAATAACAGACATCGTTATGGTGTTTGCCCAAATGGAATGATAATAACTGACTGTCTGTGTCACTCATAAATCGCATATTGACCATTGTAACAAGATGTATATATAAGATTTAGATTAGTAATATATTAAGCTCATAACAGATTATAACCAAATTCTTGTTGCGTATAGTAGCAAATAAGAGAGAAATTATTATTCTCAAACTACTACAAAAGATACACAAGCATTGAGGCTACAAAAACCAGTGTACGAAATTAGTGCTCCTAAAGCCCCAAAAAAATGACATAAAGCACCTGTATGAAATGACACTCATAGTTGCACATTTCCATACCTCAGTAATGCCTCCAGGTCCTGAAGGAATCACATCCCTTGGAAGAACATTAAATATCCTACTAACAATAGCAGGATATACTTCCTCCAATATGTCACGAACTGCTGTGTTAAATTTGCAGATAAGCTGGTTCATTAATACCAGAAAACCCACCATTTCTTTTGGCTGCAACAAAGAAAAACTAAGATTAAGTTTTGATATCACGGAAATAAGTGCAATCGTGCAGAATAATATAAAATCAAATGCTAATGAGATAAAGAAAACTATCATAAATGAATTACAATACAAATCCACGAAACATTCCTTCAAGAAACAAAAAAGGACAAGGCTTCCTTGCTACAGAAAAAATACTGTAGCTAACAAATAAAATAAACCTTTAAAGGATAGAGTCAGAAATTCCTTCCGACCAGTCAAATTTGATGGTAGAGAGCGAGCGAGAGAGAGAGAGAGACTTTTATGCTCTCCCCATAAAGCAATATGGAGGCATTTGATAGAAAAGAAGACAATAATAATAATAATAATAATAATAATAATAAATAATTCAAAAGACACAACCTTCCGTATTTGTTTCTTGGGCAAATTACACTGACACCCTTCGAGTTAAGTCAAATCTCACATAGATGGACATTTTAATTTTAACTTTCACTCACACTTTAAAGAGTTGATCCGTATTTCGCTCACACCCCAAAAGTTAATTTTGAGTGGTGTCAGAACACTTTTTACATGTAAAATGACAATACTACCCTTTTGACTTTGTGTTGACTTTGTTTCATGAATAAAATGACTTAATTACCCAAGAGACCTAACCACTCCAACTTCCATCTCTCTTCCCTTCACGTTGTCTGCAAACTAGACAACCCTAATAGAAACATGCCCAAACCACGCCGCCGGTGGATGCAATGAGAACTACGGCTAGAGGGGAGGTTGAGGAGATCAGATGGAGTTAACTCCGGTGTCCTCTCCAGATCCGCAAAGGCCACGTCGTCCTCCTCCTCTCCCCCAACTCCATCTTCTTCCCTTGGTTTACCTCTCCGTCATGTCTCTCGGCACCACTACCACCACCAATCCTCTGAACACCAGTCGCGAAATCACCAAACAAATCGCCGATTCCAAACCGGTTCTCGCCTTCACCAACACCACCATCCACCTAGTGAACCACCACCGCCAACCACCACTCTCTCTCTCTACTCACTTTCTCTCTCTACATTATAATACCCCTCACCTATAGCTATAATCCTAATTAACTTTCTCAAAAATAATGAACCACCGCCGCCACCCCTGCCACCACCACCATCTATCTCTAATAACACCACCTACAATACCCATAAGCCACAAATGACCAATTCCAAGCAAAATGATGGATAACAATCTTCAATTTCTCCACAAACTATATATATACACACACACAAACCCAGAATCTGCATAGGTTGTGTGGATGTTGCCGAAGGGGTCAAAAGGGGAGGCGATGGCAAGTATTATATATCTAATGTTCTGTAGTTTAATTTGAATTGTCTTTGCTCTGGCGGTGGGGGTTGATGGTGGCGGTGGTGGTGGATTTGTAAGAGTCCGGGAAGGATTTTAAAGAAAGAGAGAGGAGAAGCGGCGGAGGTGGTGGTTGGGTGGTATTTTCCGGCAAGCATACAACTTTGTGAAAATTCTTCACCGGTGCATACCCAATTTTTTTGTTGCAGCTTTCTTGATTTATTTCGCCACAATCAATGGATGGTTTTTCTCCTGGTACTTTGGTCGCTGCAGCTGTTATATCGGCATACTAATACCAATCTTACTGAAAAAATGAAAAGGATGAAATCAATGGATGGTTTTGGTTTTCCATTATTGCTTCGCTTCCTAATTGAATTCCCCTTTTTAAGAGTGGTGGGACGTGACTTTTTAAGTGGATTGCAGAAGGAAAGACTTCGTTTACTTCCTGCCATTTGCTTGGGTATTGGTGATGGCGGAGGTCCTCACTGATAATTGTTACATTTATCCACCAATTACCCACCAGCAGGAACCTATGACAGCTAGTTGAATATACATTTATCCATTACTTTTCCCACCATACAAGCTTTTGGGTCTGGTACTCTGGTTTGTATCCACCTTAGTTAATCAGTGGTTATATATATATATATTTGCTAATGGGCTTGGTGATGATGGTAGCGGTGGTGGTGGTGATATCAAGAGAGTGAATAGGGGCATTTTTGTCATTTAAGATTATAACTATTTTTTTAAAAATTGTATCAAAAAAAGGGGGGGTAATGGGTCAATTTGCATGTGTCAGAGCCCTAAAAGTAATTTGGGTTGTAATTGAAAGTTAAAACCAAAATATACATGTATGTGAGATTTGATCTAACCTGCAGGGGTGTCAGTGTAATTTACCCTCGTTTTTTTCCTATATATTCTGGGCAAATAAACCGATGATAAGTAAAATTGCCTTCACCAGGAGCAAGATAGTTTTATAGAGCAGAACCAAATGACCCACATGATACAAGCCATATTTAGCACAAAAGGTGAAAATAATCTGCTTTTTTTTCCCCTGAATGAATGGATTTTATTCAACACTGGATATACAATAATGTACAAAAAGAAACACTGGCAGACAAAGCTTAACCACTAGAAAGCCACAACAAAGAAAATGGAACCTTGCCAAGCAGCAAAAACAAAAGAAACAAAAAACAGTTTCTCAAAATATAGATCTAAAATCTGTCAAAGAAAGGCCAAGAGCTGAGAGGCCGTCAAACCAAGCTTCTATGAAAACGAGCGCCGTTGCCGGGAATCGAACCCGGGTCACCCGCGTGACAGGCGGGAATACTTACCACTATACTACAACGATCTGCTTCTTATTTTAGATCATTTACTGAGTGATATATAGGTTTAATTTTATGTCTGAAATCCATACACTTTTATTAGAGAAAATAAACTGAAGTCTATGGAGTTTGCAATTGAAACTGAAAAATATAGTCATAAATATGATATAAGTAAGGAGGAGATCCAATTCTAACAATCAAAAATTGTCACCATATATTGAGTGAAAACAAGTGTCTGTATTCAAATGGAAGGGCATCTTTCATTAGCAAGCTCATAAATAGTTTATTGATGTAAAAGTAAGGATTACATAAAGGAATTCAAATGAAACTATTTTGTACCTCACTTTCTGCAAGCAGTTGCTTCAATGATTTTGGGAGATAAGGAAATACAGATGATCCTAAAGTATCCACCATACGGTGAATAAATGATTTGACCTGAACAGTAAAGAAGCTATCATTAGTTATAGAGTACTCATTATAGTGCAAGAATTAGGCCTGTTAATCATTCAGGGTTTTTTATCCAAATTCAAACAGACGGTCCAGATAAGTTAAAATGAGTTTCATCTGATAGGCCCAAATACAATCCGAATTCAATATATCCAACATGTGATTAGTGATGGTCTGATCAACTAACAATCTGCTCCATTTTCGGATTAAGATATAATATATATTTATATATAATATAATTAACTGTTGAAAATTGGTAATCCAACAGTGCCAATTATACATGTAAGAAACTAATTAATTATTCCTTTGGCGTGATAGATGAAAACCTGATAGCCCTCCCTCCCTCCCTGTGCTTACCTGATCATAATATATAACAGAGTTAATTATTTAAGTTTCCCCATATGACAGCTGAAAGCCTGATAGTCATTCCTCACTCCCTCTCTATGGTCAAGGCTGGAAGGTCATTCAGGTTTGACTTATCAGAAGATATATTTTTCACATTTGATTTGAAATTTCCTTTCAATGTGAAACCCTAGTTTCAATCCTCCTAGGTTAATTTTTAATTTCAAGTTTCTTCTGTAGAATAACAAAGGGTTCTTAATTTTGAAATTGTTTCACATGTTGGCATACAAGATTCTGCTAGTTCTAAATTAAAATAGAATAATTAGGGTCTTGTTTTTGAGTTATTCAAAAAAAAAAAATCATTAGATAATCGGATTGAATCATATAATCCGATCAGATATCAGATTTGTAACAAACTCGCATTCGGATAGAAACATGAACTTCCCTCGGATGATCAAATCAATTTGGATGTTTTGCTAAATGGATCAAATTAAGATCAGCCCCTAACTGGTCCAAAGTCGGACCGTTTACAAGCCTAGCAAGAGCAAAGTGTTCCAACTCTTACCTTAAACCGCAAGGATTCTGTCTTTGGAAATACAACAAGAATTTGAAGGAGAACATCCAATGTCTAGATCAAGAAGAAAACAGAAAGAAAATTAGTGCACATGTCATGAAATAACGAAAACAATCACCAAAGTCTTTCTCCCAACTACTTGGGGTTGGCTAAAATGACATGGAATAATGACAAAGTTAAATCTAGAGCTATCAAAGAGATCATGTATCACGAAGCATGATGCAGCATCAAATTTCAAAACATCAACTCATCTCCCATCTTCATGGTATATAACCACGAATATAGCCATTCAAGCTGATCTCATAATACATAACCAAAAAGAAATACTGATCAATCACACACCCCAAGTCAACCCACCTTGTTCATTGGAAAAAAATAGATCTGAAATAAGTAAATGCATGATGGATTGTTGGACATGGATTTTTTTATTTTTTTATCTTACAATATGTAACCAACAAGATATACTGATCAATCACCATGGATAATAAATATATATATATATATATATATATATATATATATTGGGCGGGTGGGTGTGTAGGGGGTTTATGAAACACTTACACACCCAGTTTGTCCTTTCACAGACTCAAACCCTCAAACTATTGCTTGGTGATAAAACTTAGACATCATACTAGTGCTGCATTAAATCATGGACATCTAAAAGTGGAAAGTTGATAAAACTTTGATATGGTACCAGTGCATTAAATCGTTACGCTCTCTACAATCACCTGGCTTCAGTTTATTATAGAAAGTTAACCATTAAGCTGATGTAATAAATTAAATGACAAAACTGATGGTGCCTTGGATAGAAAACACACACACACAAAAATAGATAAATAAAGAATGAAAAGAAGATTAACAACATTCATCTAGTATGTGTACTTTAAGTAACCCAAACAACCGAGAGATTGAGAATACCAACCTGCTTGAACATGAGACCAATTGCAGGTCGACTAGCAGTCACAAGACGCTCGCTGAAGCCCTGGAGTACAAAGAAATTAAGGATAAATGAGAAAAACACAGACATATGAGGAAAACAGTCAAATACAAAATACTGCAGCCAAGACTCCAAGTAATAACTTCAAAACATTGTGATAAGAGTATCAGCAAAAATAAATTTGACTTCAAACTTGTAACTTAGATGCTAATTTAAGAGTTAAGTATGCAGGTTCAAGATCATTTTGGATCCTGAGAAGACATATTAATACCTTAAGAAATGTATAGAAAATCAAACAAACAATTGTAGAAAGCAAAAACAGAAAATTACTACAAGTAGACTTTGCATATCTAACTTATATAAAGAGAATCATTGGTCAAATTAGGGGAAGTGTTACCCCTTTCCCAAATAGGGCTATAACATTGGCCAGATTCAACCCAACGGGAGCTTTGAGAGGGCTTGGAGTAGTCTTTCATTGCTCAGGTTGGGCTTGGATTCAGATTTCTCAATCGCACCTCAACGTGGGTTGGGTTGGGTTTGGGTTGAATAGTCGACGCAAGCCCCAGCTATTACATTAGTATATGCTATTTTTATTGTTGTTAAAAATGGATGATTAACTTGGCCATCCCTTTTCTGTCCAACGGCAGAACCTAGCCCCAGGGATAGAGAGAGAAACCCTATCGCCACTGCCATTTTTCTTTTGCCTCACCCTGCCACCAGTCACCACCCCATCTCACCTCAATGTATACAATGCATCGTCATCTCAGTCTCGCTGTCTCACCTTCTCATCAACAGGCTGCCAGATCTAATGATAGTTTGTAACCATAAAACCACTGTACACCTCTCTCTCCCATTTCGTGTAATGATCTTGTACATCTCTCTCTCATATTTGTCAAGGAGCTGGACCAAAGTGTGAACCATTTTGTTTATCCAAAGCTAGAATGTTTATATTTATCTTCTAATTTAAAGAAGCCATCGTTGGGTAACAAAAGCTAATGCTTTTTTCGTCAAATCCACTATCTTTGTAGAAAAGATCAAGGGAGTATTTTCCTTTTAAGTATTTCCACTGTCTTTGTAGTGTTTCAGGAAAGTGTCAACCAGTTTGTTGTGTGTCACTATTTCTATTGTTTGATCTACATTTTTTTTTTTTTTTTTTTTTTGCCTCCTTTTTTGTTGTACTGATTTAAAAAATAATAATAAAAAAAATAATAATAAAATAGAAAATAAAAAATACCCAACCTAACCAACTAGCCCCAGTTTTTGAAAAACTGCTCGGGTTGACGCCAAACTCGCTCGAGTTGCACCACTATTCCCATGTATGCCCTGACCTTGAGATTTTTCATTTCTTAATCTGGGAAAATGGAAGTATCTCATATGGGGTACCTTATAAAACTACCACCACCTGAAATCCTCTATTACTTCGACACAGCTTAGTTTAAAAAATATTTTCCCCACTCAAGTTCGTGCACCTCCCTCACCACCTTTTGTTTGCCCAAGAAGCACCTCTTGCTCAAATAGTCTTTCACTACAAGGTTAAAATCCAGCACTTTACCTTTTGGAATTAACTAAAGGCCAAATTGCAGTAAACCCCCCTGTGCTTTCAAAAGGTGGCAAAATACCGCACTGTGCTATTTTTGTCGCAAAATAACTCCCATGTGGTGGAGTGGGTCATTACACAGAGGTAACGGAGATGTGAAGATACTGATAGTTAAGACACTTTGAAGCTTCTCGAACAATATATATATATATATAGAGAGAGAGAGAGAGAGGGCGGGGATTATAGAGACAGAGAGAAGGGTAGCTGTAGAAAGAGATAATGGGAGAGAATAGAGGACTAAAAAAGAAATTTTAATAGGTTCATACCACAATTAATTTTAATAGAAAAGGGTAAAATAGTCATGCAAAATGCAATTTTTGTCAAAATATTCAATAAATGTGTTAGAGGGGGGCACTTTGCAACTTTTGAAAGCACAAGAGAGTTATTTGGTGACAAAAATAGCACAGGGTGGTATTTTGCCACTTTTTGAAAGCTACAAAGATTATGTCCATAATCAGAAAGTGGCAAACATGTAATACCGTGTTTCAGTATCTGTACTAATGCAGATTGTGATTATCGTTAGTAGTTAAGTCACCATCAGATTGTGACTATCTTTAGTAGCTAAGGCACCGTTTTCATTGTTTAGCTATGAGCTATTCCCTTTTTAGTATCAAATAATAGAATGCTATGCCAGCATTATGCCAACTTTAAGTTGCTCTTATTGGTAAAAAAACAAGCGCCAACTCTAGAGAAAATTAACAATTCAATCGATCAGAGATCACTCAACTTTTGCCATTAAAAATTCAGAATGAGAACCTTCTACAATCTTCTATCCAACTTTTGGGTAATTGGTTTGACATCCGTATAAAATCAAACGAGTAAAAGTTCCTGGACCGTTCCACCAGGGAAACACTTGATAGTGTTTTCCTTTTGATTTCCCTCAAGTATTTCGAGTATAACAAGCAAAAGAAAGTGTGCGGCAGAAAAGACAACAATCCATCAAAAATGGAAGTTCAAAAAAGGAAAACTGTGAACAGAAAAGCAAGTCTACGCCTATCTGGTTAAATTTTTCCTTTCATAATATGGTATTGTAAATATATTTTTGTAAAATTTCCACTCTGGTTAACTAATTAATCTGATATTTGAAGAAGAGTAGTTTCCCATCATGATTAAATATGGTACCAACATTTTAAGGTGAACTCTAGTAGTCAACGGAACAATGGTTGATGGAATCCTTAGACCAAATCTGAATAAGAATATAAGCAACAGGGCATAAAAATATATATTTATATTGATTTTTTTTAGATCCAACGGAACATGAGCATATTCTTAAGTCATTATCATGGCTGAAATACGTTGTGAGAGCTGACAAGAAGGATTAATCACAATTCACGAGATGCATGGTAACTAAAATGCTAAGTAGTGGTGAGTGACCAGATCATCAGAAGGTAATGTCCCAAGGAAAACTCTTAAGTTATAGTTGATAATATAGCAAGTCTTCCATTAATGGTATTGACTTTAATTCAGAACATAATCCTTTTGATGAGTTCATGGATTAAAATTTGGTTATATAACCAACTAATTACAATCGATTAGTGCACCTTGCACGCATCAAAACCTCAACATGCCCGTGACACATGGATGGTCAAGCAGTACTATAATAAATGGGAAAGGAAGAACAAGAACCTTGCTAAGGGCATTAATTGCCATGATGATTAGCTGGATATTTGCAATCTTTGCAGAAGAGTCTTCTAAATTGTGTCCTTTGGCATTTAAGAGCAGAGCTTCAACCTGATTGAAGTGTGACAATCTTAGTTGAAATTCCTCAACCAAAAAATTGACACTCTGAACAACTTCCTCACAAACTATATGGAAAATAGTGCACATACCCAAAATGTATCTATAGATGCACATGCACACGCATGTAAACTTATAAAGATTTTCAACCTAACCTGCTGACAAAGAGGAGTGAGCAATGCTGAAAGGTAATCAGATTGCTTTTCTGGTGGTACATCTTCCATCCCAATCAGCAATCCAATTGCCTGTGAAGTGTTGATATAAAATCAAACCAAAGAAGCAGCAAAAACTACTGAGATATCTTACTTCCACTTAAAGATATTTACTGAAATGCATGAAATGAAGCAATTACCTCAAAAATGTGACTACCATCTTCAGATCCTGAAAGCTCTTTTGATGTACAACCAATACTTGTAAATTGAGCAATTGTATTTTGCAAACTCTGAAAATACATTGAGCAAGAAAAATAAACAGAGAGATAGGGAATAAATAGCAAGACTAAATTTTATTAACAACAGGTAATAGAAAGAAAGAAATGATAATGATAATGATAAAGATTAGATACCTGCAAAATTGTCTCTATGAAAGGCACAAGCTTTGATTTGAGCAATTTCACAACCCTCATGAAAAGATAACTTGCCCTTCTACTTACATTGGCATTTGGATGGTGTATACCTCTTTCGTCAAGAAAGGCAGCTAGAACCATAGGTATATATTCAGTATTCTCCTGAAGAAACTTCATGTATCTTGTTATTGTTTCCAAATATACAAGAGCTACAATCCTATTAGAATGACAAGGAAACCTAGTTGACAAGAGCAAAGGCATCAGTTCTCCCAGGAGACCATTTCCAGTTCTCATCACCTCATCACTTATTGACTCTCCAAGTGCATAGAAAAGAGAGAGTGCAGCTTCTACCTCTTCAACATTCCTATCAGCATAAGATGCAACGTTAGCTAATGAATTTCTGATAAATATCTGGGTAACATCAGGTGCTACACGACCCACATTACGAAGCAACACAAACAGATCCTTCCGGAACTCTGCCATCCTGTCCTCCTCTTCTCTCCCAATCTCATCCATCTTGTCAAGATTATCACGATAAATAGGATCATAGCATATCTGTGCACGAATCACTTCCAATATCTGACCCACATGAAGCAGTTGTTTCTCTCTCAGTAGAGAGGCACTCTTCATTGTGGCAACATAACATGAAAGGAACTGCACTATATTGAATGCCATATCGACCTCACAATTTTGCATTACGTAAAAAACCGATGGCAAAACCTCATCCAGAAGCTCCATTGAAACTCCCTTAGCATCCTCAGAACTCAAACACTTGAAGCAATCCAGGACCTCAGTGGCGTATCCTGTGAGTAATGCAGCTACTTCTGAAACCAACTCAGAATCATTGTTCTCAGCTACTAAACCAAAAACCCTACTTATCTGAAGGCTCTGCAGAAGGGAAAGTTTGGATTGTGGATCCATTCGCTTAGAAACTACCGCAAGGACACAACCGGTAGCAGCACCCCGGAGTTGATCCAGCATTCCGTCGACCAAAATTAGCTCAAATAAAAGTGGAATAAAAGCATCATTCACAATCAACCCAATGTCAATCCAAGAAACATATCTCCTCATTGAATGTAAAACACTAGTACATAGTTCTGGATTAGAACTTTTATACATAGAGACAATATCATACCACGATCTAACGATCTGGGCGACACATTGCTGCCTTATTGCATCCTTAACTCGAGCAGCAGTAGCCAATTCTTCAGCATTTCGTGGATAGTCCGAACTGATCAACTCGTCATCCAATGCATTCAAAACCCGACAAAACATATCTATAACCAACGCACCTTTGCTCAGGTGAGGGAGGAAATCAACGAAAACCGAAGGCCAAATTAGAGGGTACTCAAAGTAAATTAAAGTAACAAGAATCTGAGCAAGCTTGTTCTTGATAAATGCAGGACTTTCCAAAACCCTAACGGAGTTCTTATCATCAATCCCCCCAAAACATGCGACTGAAAACACCGACCTCCGAATGAAAGATTTCTCTTCTGGACTCACTGACGAGTACCGAACACGAATCACATCATGTAGACACTGTAAGCACCAGAACTGGACTTGAACTAGTTTAGAAAAGCACAAACGTTCAATACATATACTACATATAGATGGGTTCTCCTTAATTTGCTGACAAAAAGCAACTGCCTGTGATTTCAGTACCGAATCGGTTGTCCCTGATTCATCGAAGCTGATGACTATTGCCTTTTCAAGATCGTCCATGGAAATTCTGAGATTGCAAGGACTCTAAAAAAGAAACCCTTTTAAAACCTCACTCAGATTACCTTGAAAAACAACTTAATGAGATTGAATCTTTGTTGTTTTCGTGTTCTTTCGCAAGTCCAAAGACTTCGTAAACTGATTAATTAATCAGTCCCTCAAAACTAACAAAGAATTGAAAAGAAAATGTTGAGAAATTGACTAGGTTACTCTTCTTCTTCTTTTTAATGTTGTTCGCAAAAAAGGATTACAGTGAGATGTAATGAATTCAATATAAATGGACTGAATCTGTAAATCCTTACCTTGTATTGAGAAAGGGAAGAAGAAGAAGAAGAAGAAGAAGAAGAATACAGCCAGGGTTTCTTTGGTTAGAAGAATTGAGGAAACCAACCTAGGGTTTCTTTGGTTCGGTTTTTATACGGTTTTTTTAATCTGAAGGCAGTGAGGAGGCATGAAAGTTTGGAAGAAGGCTGATCTCACGTAATGTACAGCACTTGATGATCATCAAAAACATCTATTTTTTATTTTTATATTATATTTTCAATATTACTTTTCTGGGTAAATTATAATTATCACCACTGAAGTTTGTTCGAAATACAAATCTGTCTTTCAAGTTTTGAAAATTTACACTTTATTCTATTTTTAAAAAGATTTTTTTTCATAATTTTGTATAAGTTTTGACATTAATCCTATTTTTTAAAAATATTTTAGATAGAGTTGCTAAATTTTAACCCAAATCACATAATTCATTAACAAAATTATTGGGAAGCCAGACCCAATTTGACTTGGATTAGGTTCAAGTGGCTTAAGTTACAAGTCTAATAGTAATTTTAAAAAAGAAAATTTTACACAAACAAACTATTTTATAACATAAGTCAACTTAAACCCCAAAAAACAATATAAGTCTTCCTATTTCGACTATTTTACTCAAGAATGATAGTTATAATGAAAATTTTCAGGAGTCACAAAAATTTCTTACAAGTCTGTCTATCTAACATCTTATTTAAGTAAATAAAAGTTACCATGTCAATGGTGTAGCCATGTTTAGCCTCGCTAAACTTTTTTGTTATTTTAATTTTGCATATCCATCTTGAAATAATTGTATAAATACCCTTACAAAATAATAAAAATACCCTACCCAACACAAAGATGAAGAGAGAAGAAGAAAAGGAAGGAAGAAGAACTTTACGCAACTTGAACGTGTGAAAAATGAAAATTAATACAATTATAAATGTATTAAATGAAAATATTATCAATTAACATTTATATTTTTGTATTTGTTATCTTGATTCAAATTTTTTATTATTATTATTATTATTGTTCACGCTCCCACTTTTTTTTTTCGACGATATTATAATTTTTGACGTGTCATTTAAATGATTTTCTTACGTCTGGTGTCTAAGGTATCACCTGAAACCTTAAGTATAAATCACAAGTAAACTACCAACTTAGCTACTACATTCTTGTGATTTAAGTATAATTATAAATATATATAATATTTTCGAGCTCGGGTTAGGCTTCGGGCTTCATCCATATCAACCCAAGTCCAGCCCGAATTGAATTCGGGCTTAAAATATATAGCCCAGGCCCAAACCGAAATTAGAAAAACATTGACCAAGCCCACAAAATTTCAAGCTAGGCTCGAGTTATTTCGGGTTGGGCCCGCCCGAGTTGCAGCCCTATCCAAAATGATAAGTGCTTAAATGTTGCACATTTCAGCACCTAAGCTAGGATATTTAAGTCCTTGCATCTATATTACTTTCATGTTTTAGTTCTAATTTATGTTTTTGTCAATTTCAAGTCAATAAGGTTCAAATGGACTAATTTCGGTTCATTAAAACATTTTTGGAGTCAAGTAAATACAGTTGAAAAAAGTTTATAAAGTGACAAAAATAGGTCGCAGCCATTGTTCGTATAGTGTGCTTATTATTCAAAAGCGGTCAATTCTACGTTTTTCGGACCTTTGATGATGTTCCAAAAGATGAAGAAGCAAACGAATTAGCCCGAGGCCAAAATGGAGCTAAATAAGGCTTAAAGGAAATTTCCAACTCTGGAGGATCGATCCACCACTATTCACATAACTAAAAATGCCTTTGGGGGATCGATCCCCTAGCCCCTAGCAGCATTGCGGGATTGATGTTTACTTGGCTATGGGATTTTCTTGTTTTGGACTTATTTTGTAACTTATTGGTCTCCAATAAGGTTTATATTTAAGGAAACCAATACCCATTAGTTTGGGGGAGTTTTTTTTATTATTTTAAGATATTATTTTATTTCTCGGTAATCGATATATCGATATTCTCTTTGAAAAACGCGAAAGAGAATACACGAAGAACAGGCTAAGGCTTGAAAGAAAAGATCAAAGATGATGAATTCAATAATAGAGATTGTTTTGTCTTCAACTCCATCAACCATGAGTGGCTAATTCTTCTACTTAGGGTTGGATAAACCCTAAGCATGTAACTTATTCTCTCTCTCTCTTCATACTTTTTAGGGATTTAGTATGTAATTATTGTATAGGCTTGAAATATATGAATCAATTATTCCAATTGTTTATTTGTGTTAATCATGTGTTGTCCTATGTGTGGTTGATGAATAAACAAGCTTTACATTTGAATTCTTTGTAAATTGATTATTGTGATGTCTATGCATGTGGCTAATCAGTTGTATTTGTATTCCAATTTGATGGATATTGCTTTTACTAGATAGATGGTACTACATAATTAGGTTAATTCATTGTTTAATTAGTTTAATTTCATACTTAGTTAGTTCAATTTAATTTTAAGTAGTTTAATTGCACTTGATTCCTAGGTAAGTAGACCATCCATGCCTGTGTTTGAATTTCATGCTTATTGTCATAAATACATTATCCTCTAGATTAATGTAGGCTAGAATTGTAATTTGAATTGATGGACCATTCTTTGGATAGGTGAATTGCACTACATTTAGTTTATTTGTCATTAGGTAGGCAATTCAAGCTCGAAATTGATGCTTCATACTTTTTTTTTGCAAGTATTAGCTATATTAGAATTACATTTAATTATTTCCCCAATTAGTTGAAAGTTAGCGAGTTAGGGAATGTGCTTAGTGGTGAATCCTACACCCTAAGTCTCTTTCCAATCTTTTAAATTCCATTATTTTATTGCAGTCACTTAAGTTAAATTAGTTCTAATCACAAAACAAAACCCTTTTTAGCAATCACATAAGCACTAAAGTAGAATTCAATTCTGAAAACCTATAATTATTATAAGTGTTTAGTGGTTTATAAATTATAAAATATGATGTCCACTTGACATTATTTCTAAACCTAAAGTGTTGTGCATTATTTTGTGCACACGCTCGGTCGCATCATAGTTTTGGCACCGTTGCCGGGGATCAAACGGTTTTTAAAAAAATTGAATTAGACATTAGTTCTTTGTTGATTGTTTACTTTTAAGTCATTTTAATTTTTATTTTCTCATTTGATTTGTCAATTAGGTACTTGAAGCAAAGTGGAGCAACCGCTGGACTTAGAAGCAATTAAAAAAAAAAAAAAATTTGAAATTGTTTAAGGACCTTCTGTAAGTTCTCTTTAATTTTAGTACTTTAATTGTTTACCATCTTGCATACTTTGGACAGCCCAATTGGAGGCTTAATTTGAATTGTTTTATTTTTAAGTCTAAGCATACCTTATTGTATAAAGCATCGGCCCGTGTGGAGGCATTTATTTGTTTTAAGTGTATTGATGTTATTTAGGAGTTTAGGAACATCATATGTGGAGATTGAAAATTGAAGTGTTGGTGTGTTGACTTATTATAGTGCATGCATGGTCGTAGATCACTTAATCGTCCTCTTGTTTTTGTAAATCAAAATTTCAAAATTTCTCTTCGGCGTTTAAGAGGTTGTACTAGGGATAGTCATCATAATCTTCCAAATTTTGATCTTCCATCACCTTTAATGGAAGACCCAATAGATCCAATTGTAGATCCCATTGAAGATATTGGTTGTGTGGATCATAATGGTGGGCACCATCCACAACAAGATCATATTGTGGATCCTCAAGGTGTGCATCCACCCTTGGTAATGCCACGACCAATTAATCATGTGGTGCAACAACCTAATCTAGGGATGCCAAGGCCAAATGTTATTCCCCCAATTAGTGAATAACAACAACAATATGTTCAAATGGCATACCCTCAACAAGGTCAAATGGCATATCATCAACAAGGTCAAATGCCATATCCTCCTCTTAATCCTCCAATGGTCCTTAGGGATCGTTATACTCCAAATCAATATAATGCACCCAATTGCATTCAATTGCCAAATTTTCGTACCCATCATTATGAGATCAAGGCTTCCACCATTAACATGTGCCCTTTTTCTATGGGTTGAGCAATGAAGAGCCTTATAAACATTTAGATGAGTTCTTGGAAGTTTGTTCCACCGTGAAAATCACCAATGTTCCGAAAGAAGTCCTAAAAATGAAGCTTTTCCCATTCACTCTTTGGGATAAAACTAAATATTGGTTCAACAACTTGCAATCAAATACAATCACCTCTTGGGCACAATTGCAACAAGAGTTCCTAAAAAAGTACTATCCGGCAAGTCGAATCGATTTAATGAGAATTTCCATTCGTGAATTTGCACAAGAAGAAGGAGAACCCCTTCATGAAGCATGTGAACGTTTGAATGACTTGCTAAAGAAGTGTCCACATCATGACATTTCTAAGTGGTAATTAGTTCAATGTTTCTTTTCAAGTTTATCCGATGCTAATAAGGGCATTGTTGATGTTTCCTGTAGCGGAAGCTACATAGAAAGATATGAAATGAAATTTGGCGTCTCTTTGAAAAAACTTTCGAAAATTACTTTCACCCATACTGCAAATGTTTGTTCCGTTTTTCACTCACACCCCAACCGTCACATGCAGAGCTCTGACACCATGTAAATTAACTAAAATACCCTTTGACTTTGTCAAAATAGTTCTTTGACCTACAAAACTAGATTAAAAGACTAAATTATCCCTAAATGCTTTTCAATTTACAATTATATATATATATATACAGAAAAGCTATTGTACAAAACTACCCCCACTAAAATCTACCACCTCATAAAAATTATGGGTGTTTATGTAATTTTAAAAACCAAACCACTCATCTCTCACGCGCATTTTTCTTTTCCCTTCATATTGTTTGCAAACCTTGACCCACGTCGGCGATGGAGGTTGTGGAGATCAAATAACCCAATTGTGAATTTAAAAAAACCCAACTGAGTAATTCTCTCATACACAAATCAATCAATCACAAACTAATTCAATAAAAGAAAAAATTAAGACCATTCATTAACGAATTTGAAACCATAGCAAACAGAGTCTATCGCTTGGCCGGCGTTGTCCCAAATCTGGGCCGTCTGAAATTCCACTTTGATTATGGCCTTGGAGTGCGAGCGTAACGTGACAAGAGATTTGCTTGGCCGGCGGTGTCCCAAATCTGGGCCTGACTTCCTCCTTAATCTATTGAAT